CATGATTTAAATTAGGATTATACAAATCCCCACTGTCTCTTGTGACTTCACCTATGACAACTAACTGTATCTGAATAACACTCAAGCTTTTCTTTAAGGCAAGAGCTGGTGGTGACCCTTACAATTTACTTTGCTTATTTGTTCCCTTTTGTAACTTCTAAGCTTTTTTTTTTTTTTTTTTTTTTTTTGGTGGAAGAACAAACAGATTGGCTTCTAACTACCTCAGAGAGTGCACTTATCCCAGAAAAACTGGACTGCCTGTGGCAGCACCTGAGGCATGTCAGCTGGACAGCCCTGTCTGAGCATGGAATGAATGGGAAAAAGGTGAAAAAAGGGGTCTTGGATCCTTTACATGGAACACAACATGACAGATGGTCACATGGAGACCCCTCCATAAGTTTGCTTTTGGTAAAAAAAAATGAAGACACATCCTGCAGTTAAGTATTTTTAGCATCTGCAAGCATGGCAATATTTTGCCTTTCTCAATAAAAGATAATCATATAATTTCATTATTTTATGCTTTACTTCCATTTGGCTGGTTTTCTGAAAAATGACAGGGTTAAAACAAAGGTCAGAAGGGACTAGCCAGCGCTAAGAAAAGCATCCCTGAGTCAGGAGGAATCAATTTAACTCTATTTTGCATCCATATGTATTTTTCTGCTCCTATATCTGTTAATATTCTCAGGAATATTTCATTTGCCACTACTTCCCCCAACATCAATTTCCACCCTTTCAGTTATTCCCCTTCCTTTTAATTATTATTATTTTTATTTTAATGATGTCTTGTTAAGAACTTGTGCTGAGTGTGCCTACATATATACAGACTCATGTATATTTTTGATTTTTTAAGGAAAAATCCACAATTTTTCTGGAATGGTCCCTTGTATAGATTTTTTTTTTTCTAAATATGAATAAGTTCCATTATTTGACTGAAATCAGGAAAAAGCTGGAAAAAGCTTGAAGTCTGACTAAAGGCAGAATGCATCATGAGCTCATAGCTGTATTTTTTGCCAACTATACCCAATATTTAGTGATTCATTGTTCACACAGGTGCTTCAGGAAAGGAATTAGGATGGAAATAAATACACAGAAAAAGCAAAGTCTTTCTGTAATTCATGTGCTCCATGAACACAATGGTTCCATACTTGAACATCATGACAGGAGGCATTATTTTAAATTTGTGAAGATGCCTTTCTGACGTACCTGATAAAGATTTTGGGTTTAAAATTAGCTTTCACAACTTAAAAAAAAAAAAAAGTCAGTGACAAAAAAGACCAAAAAAAAAAAAAAAAAAAAAAACCTGAGAAGAACTTTGTGTCCTTTGCCTGTAAATTCCATCCAAAAGAGGGAAATTAAAAATGCCAACAATCTAAATTTAAACCAGGCTTTGGGAAGCCATTCTAGTGAGGTGCTGGATATACCCAGTTGTGTCTGTGTTCCCTCCAGCCAGCTTATCTTCCAAATCCGTGAGTTTAGTTCCTACTCCTGGTTTTGGAGCCCCTGTGCCTGAGTCAGTCTGGAAACAACTTCCCACTGCCAGGTTATTAACATGGAGATCAGCGCACAGGGCAATTAAAGAAAATAAAGCTAAACACCACAACATAACACAACGGGGAGACAGTACAAGGAGGGCTGGGTCAGCAGAGTTTTTCAGTGTTAGGAAAACAACACATGTTTTCCCTTGCCCAGACTCCAAAAAAGCTGAATCATTTTGTTTTTCCAAATAACAGAGAATGCAGGCATGAAAAATATCAGTTCAAATGATTCAAACCTGGCAAAAAAAAAAAAAAAAAAAAAAAAAGTGAGCAATTAAAAATAGAGGTAGGGCCAACACACTGAAAGGAGCAGTGAAGTTCTACCTGCAGTGGAGCTGAAAAATTGTTGTTCCTCCTGAAAGCCATGAGATGTAGGGACATGGATTATTCAGGCTCGTCTGGGACAGCAAAGGCAAATCATTAGGGACACCTGAGACACAAACCATTCTCAGGTACAACTCTGACCTTAAAAGGTGGCACTAAATACCACCTCAGAATAGCTGTTCTGTACATTGAAACACATTTGTTCTCAAAACACTGACTAATTATTATCACTATTAGCTAAAATAGTGCCTTATTGCCCATTTGAATTACTCATATGGAGATGCTGATCACTAAAAGAGAAAGACGTGATATACAAGGTTTATGATCGTTTTAACTTACACTTCATTTTAACAGTTTGTAAGCACTGCAAAACTCAGACTTCTGAGCTATTGGATTAATACTTGCTAGATAGGCAATGAATTATTTTACCTAGAAGCAGAAGAAATGTGTAGAAAACCAAGTAGCTGTGGACAGTGATGGGATACCATGGCTTTTCTGAAAGGCTCTTTCTGGAAGTTTTACTAATAAAATAGCATCTAAGTTACTTAATGGCCCAGCCAAGATGGGCTGAGTAAGTGATTAATAAACAGAACTGGCAATATAATATAAGGATGTGGCACAGGTTTCATCTCACCTTAAATTGCTATATATAAAATACAGGAAAATTTCTGCTACCCCGTGTTCTGCAGGCTTTCAGCAATGGGTGACATCAGCTATACCCAACACCAATTTCTGACTCTATGCAACCCAGGAATGGGTCAGGATGAAACACATCCCTGCAAAGGCAGCTAATACAGTGTTTGGTGCTTAACTGGGAAATATAGCCAAGCATTTTTGTGTCCTCAGCACCTGGCAATGCCATTCCAATGCTAACTTTGCTGGACACTGAAAAGGCAAAAAGGACACCCAGATCCCAGGTGGGCATGGTGTGGGGTCCCTGAATTAAGTGGCATAGAATTCAGCCCAGATTATTTTTACTTCCTGCAATCTAGTGTATCTATAACAAGCCCTGTGATTTGGTGAGAAGTGAGCACGTGTGGCAAAACTGCACCACATTCATTGGACACTGATGCCTGATACAAACTCTGCCACTAATTTTCATCTTCTTTGTTTCAAAAGAAAACAGGACACAAATTTCTCCACAAATGTCTGGATCCTGTGGTTCTACAGCATAGCACATCTTTCATATCATCAATTTTCTGAGCAGCAGCTCCAACGAATCATCCTTTTAATGCTGTTGAGAAAGGTACATTATGGAGGTGACTCAAAGGAATAGATGCTGCAGCTACAACCATTCTCATTATGTACATATGAGATGCCTCGATGCTCCTGCCTGCTGATTACATGAGCAAACATTTTTAGTATGCAAAATCCTATTAACTCAAGGGGATTCTGCATAATTTTATAACAGCTCCACTTGTGGTGTTTGATTGACTGGGTCAGCAACAGACAGATGGCAAAGAATTAATTCTAAGGCTGCTTCATTGCAGTGCTGGCATCAGGGTCTCCTCTACTCATTCCACTCAGATAAATCAGAACTTTTTCTACATTACCTACACCTTTTCCTCTTCTAAGGTCAAGAACAAGAATGTTGGAGCTGTCAGCACGAAAAGGAAGACAAATGAAAACTCTTCTGTGTGACATTTACCCTCCCCAAAAACATCCTAAACTGAAAAGGAAAGTTAACCTCGAAGACAAAGTAACACAATAATCCAAGAGATTACCCTGGAACACATCCCTCCGATAATTAGTGTTTTCTCTTGCTCCATTTCTTGATCACTTCATAATTCTGAAGTGCAGAGTAAAGTATTAGCCAGTACTTAGTGAATTTTTGCTTAGCATGTATTTTGATGGGAAATTATTAGCAGTCTGAAAATGGTGCCTAAAATTCAATTATTAATGCATCGTTTCCCAAGTTTGAGGAAAATGGTCCCAAAAGTAAACAGTAGTCTGGCTGGGATTTGCATGCAGAACTCTTAAGCTTACAAGATGCAAAACTTAGGCCCAGAAAACCTTCAAAATATGTAGGGAATTAAATTGATACAGAAATATTTGTCTGAGATTTTTTTTTTTAAAACCCTGTAACTACTAATAAGCTTGAAGGAGTTAACTCAGAGACCCACATGGATCCAGCAAAAACTCCAACTGTTTCATTTGTCAAAGCATTGTTCCTTGAAACCTCTGCCAGCATTATCCAAAGTGGGTCAAAAAGGTAATGGGGAAGACACAATCCAGATTTCTTTTAGATGAAAAATTCCTTGGTTTGGGGAAACGGTCCCATCCTGTTTCACCACAGCACAGTTCCTGTTAATAATACTGTGCCATCATTCCTCCAGAAGCACTGATCTTTGTAACTTGTAAAAAATTCTTCTGTTTTTGTTTTTTGGGTTTTTTTTAATATTACAGTTTCCATTCCTATTTCTCACATGTCACATTGCCTTAGGAATGTTTCTCTGACATCCAGGCTAATTAAGCCTGCTTCAGAAATAAGGGCTTGAGGTTGTCAGCCATACCTGACAACCCTTTGGACAAACAATTCTCTTCCATTCGTATTTTTAATTAAGCTTACTGCAAGTGCTTTAATATCAGAAAATGGGGACAAAATTTTGACTAATCCAAAGCAAGACTTCCATTTTCTTTTGGAGATAACAGCAGCTTCAGCCTCTAATGCTGACAGTGTACTAATTCAATCCCATCCCTGAAACTTAGCCCAGCTCCTTGGCCTCACATCCAAAGAAGAAAGAGCTTCTTTTTGGCTAAATCAAGAGGGGCCAAGCAAACCAAAGTGCCCAGACAATCCCTGGACCACACGTACATGGATCTTGCACCTGACTTACATGAGACTGGAGATCAGCTCAGAACAAGGCACATCTGACTGGAGAACACCAAGGATTTCATCTTTTGTCACCAACAGCTCTTAGAATTCTCAAACTCATTAACAATGTCACCAGAGGGTGTGCTCCTCTCATTCCTAAGTATTCCAGGACATCTTCACTTAGTGAATTACATAAAAGCCAAAGTTTTCACTCACTCCCTCCACACCTGTGTTCAGCCTGGTGCGGTGTGACTTCTCCCCAGACCTAAGCTCATGTGATGTTTTCTTCCCAATATTTCAGGGGGAAGAGATATTTCCTTTTTTACCTGAAATGGGGACTGGCTGTTGTAATTCTTGATCTCCTTGTTGGCTCCCCGGAACAGCAGCACCCTTGCACAGCTCTCCTGAAAATGATGGAAAAGGAAACTTGTTCATAAAAATCCTTTGACACTAAAGAGGCTGTGACTGATAAGAGGTTATGAGGTGCTTGGTCTATATTTTCGTGATTAAAAAATAAACCAAATAAATTATCTGAGAACTTACATTGTTAAAACAGCATTTTAAAAATGACAAGCCTCCAGATGCTTTGCAGTGTATTAGAAACACTAGGCAAGTTGTAAAGAAACATGAAGGAATACAAGTAGCAAATGCCTTATTAAATTTTTAAGCAACTGTACTGATGAAGTTCCATATTTGACGAAACAAATTTTGCACAAATTTGATTCCCATATGGGGTTTTTTGCCTATTATGTAGTAAAAACAGTACTGTTCACAGAACTGGGATTAATTCTATCCTTCCCTCCTGCTAAAAGTTTAACAAAGCAGTTTTACCACTTATTTTGTTGGAGACCTTCTTTTCAACCTATCCTCAACATTAAAAGTATGACTTTTTTTTTTTTTTTAGCACACATGAAATTATTTGATCTGCCTATACATACTGCACTGACCATCCTTATTGCCTCTCTTTCCCTTAAAAAATGCTAGCAGTTACAGCACAAGGAGGAAAATTTGGCTTCAAACTGAGAAAATCTGCAAAGGAAATTCCTTAAAAGCAATTTATTTTGGTCAATACAGTGCATTGGTTAAATCATTGCTCTCCATGGCTGTTAAATATGACTGACTACAATTTGGTATAAATTCTTGGAGGTTCTGAGTGGATTCTCAGAATTTCTGGTGATTCCTGTATGGACTCTGTTCTTTATTTGTCATCTTTAATGTTCATCTTAGATTCTTATGCAAATCAATTCACATTTCAAAAAGGTTTTATATTCCCTCATCACAAATATTGTTCTTAATTTTGTTGTCCTTTCTGTGTTGTCTTGATATGTTGTGCAATGGAGTTCTACCTAATGAGGTATTAGGATGGGCTACCTTTCACTTTGAACAGCAAATCTGCAGTCAGAGAAGACAAAGTGCATAATTTAGGTATTTTAGTGATATAAACAAAGCTTATTTACTAGATTATGAGTCACAGGTTAATTTGCAAAATTATGATTGAAAATCGTTTCTGTCATTGTGTTTTCTAAATTCTTACCGTAGATTCTTGGTCTCACTAAGTCTCCCCATCACAGGGCTGCCCTAAATGTATCATGAAAGGAGGTTATCCTACCTTTTCCTCAACTGAAAAACAACAGAATGAATCAAGATGGTAATTTAAAATTATCTCCTTTATTATAATTTTTAATGCTATACAATTAACTGAGATAGTCTCGCTTGCTTGCACTGCAATCTGCACTTTAGTTGCATTTTCTCTATCTCTAAACAATTGATCAATGCCCAATTTTAATCAAGAACTTGAAGATATAAACAAGTATATTGAAAAACATACTGTATTTATTGGGTGATTATTCAATTTTTTCTCAGAATCACCCAACATTACAGCACCAAAAGAATTATACATTCAAAAACTCTCTACAAATTTAACTAAGCTGTCTGCAGTGTAACAAAAACATGCAAAGGGATTTCTTAAATAAAAGGTTGTGATTAGAAAAAAGATTTGCCAAAAGCTGTAAAAGAGCCGTTCAACATTTTTAAAAAATCCAAGAAAATTTATTTGGGTTAAGTACTGCATTTGTTTGTTTGTTTGTTTTTAGTCTTTTGAAACAAACAGGAGCATTTTTAACTTCACATTTGCACCTTTTTGTTTCCTCCCCATCTGTCAGATTATATTCAATTTTAATACTACAACAGCTTTCATCTCAGATCCAATCCTCCCAGCGAAGGAGGGCACATTTCATCCCAGCAAACAACAGACTTACTGCATGGCCATGGAATAACTTATAAAACCAAGAGTTTATTCAAACCAGGACTTCGCTGACATCCAGGAAAACAAATTTACCAAGTTCAGAAAGTCAGCCAATTCCCTAGGGAAGACTGGAAGGGCAGATCAAACGGGTAATGACTCCATCTACAGGAATCTGGAGGTAACAAGGATACTGCTGTCCTTCCCATCTTCTCCAGCTGGAAAAGGCAGCACCGTTCCTTCCACGTGAACTAATAACAACTTTCCATTAAAAAAGGCACTGGCAAAATCAGCACAGGTTAAGGCTCACAGCATCCCAAGGGAAACTTTGTATTTCCACATACACTGGATGGAGGAAAACAGAAGGACGACAGTGCAGGCAGAAGATCTTAACATTCCATTCACCAAGCCAAGCTTAGTGACTGTGTAAATATTTGAAAATTTGTAGATGCAGTTTCAATTAGAGTCTCTAAGTCTCCTGTAGAATAACTGAGGTCAGAAAAACACATCTCTGCATAAAAAAATACTGTCATTCTACAGGACTACTCCAATTCCCACCTCATACTGCATAACCTTTGCTAAAAGCATATGGTCCGATTATTTTTTTTAAGCTGAGGGCATTTTAGACCTAATTGAGGAATCTGTTTTGACAAGACTTTAGAAAAAAACTAAGATGGTAATTAAGAAGCAGATACTTTAACAGCTGTTTCACTGTTTACAGTCACATCTCATGCTTTCCAATTTCAATGTAATATTCTACATATTGATTTTTAACATAGTTGTAAAACTCATCCCCTCCCCATCCCATCCCTGCAAAGACAGTATAAAATGCTATCAAACCAAAAGGTTCTACTACTTGTAAATGACTACACAAGTTGTAAACAGCAAAGAATTCAGTATCTTCTGTGGAGACATTTCCATAGTATTTTACAACTCTTCTTTATTCAAATCCAAATTAAATTATAGAGTATTAGCAATAAATTCTGTATAGGAAACAAATATTTAGATATTAATCAAACCCAAAAAAGCTGGTAAAGCATAGTATTCTATTTTTTAATATCCATACTCTTGCTATCTACACTGAGCAGCTTTATTTGTAATCAGTGAATGAAACACCAATAAAATAATTTTAATTATGTTCTTTCCAGTTTCTAAGACCACTTTTTAAAACCTGAAGCACTTCATTACATGTAAAATAATGTAGTGATAGGATGAAGGGAAAGGCTTCAAACTGAAAAAGAGAAGGTTTAGATCAGATATTGGGAAAGAATGCCTCCCTGAGGGGGTGGTGAGGCCCTGGGGAAGTTGTGGATGGCCCATCACTGGAATGTTCAAGGCTTAGGTTGGATGATGATTGGCGCAATAACGTGTAGTGGAAGGGGATTGGAACTGGATGATCTTCAAGTTCCCATCCAATCCAACCCATCTGTGAGCTCCCAGCTGCTGCTGGGGACATTTCTGTCCCTGCAGGGTGCCAGCAGGGCTGGTGACAGGGCAGGGGCTCTCACCTGGTTGTAGAGGGCACAGATGTGCAGGGCCGTGTTCCCTGAGGCGTTCTGTGCGCACATGTCGGCGCCGTAGAACAGGAGGTGCTCCAGGTGTTGGACATGTCCGTACCTGCAAGCCTGGGCAGGGATGCAGCAATATTTCGGTTATTACATCAAAGCCTAGGCAAGATTTTCAGCAGAGAAACTGCTGGTTTTACTGAGGGTCTAATTTTTAGAACTACGCCTGGTTCTGTCATGGGAGCACAGACACCCAGATGGGCATTCCTGCACAAACTCCAATGTGGGCACTTCAGGTACAGCAGTCCTGTGCTTGAGTTTAAACCATCTGATAATCTGGGGAATGGCAGCCTAAGGGATCAAGAAAATACTGCCTTTGGAACTTTTTATCCACCAATGTTCATTACTCAAATGTGACAAGTTTTTTGTCCTGCTACACTTTGGAATGCTGCCCACCAGATGGCATTGAAGATTATCAGTTTGCCAGAGCCAGGCCTTCGAAGGAAAATCTGGCCAAAATCCAAGTAAATCTTCTTGGTTCTGTGATGTCAAGCAGACACACAATATACACAGGACAATAGTTCAAATCAAGGGGAAATCTTCAAGAGTTACTTTATCTATCACACATATAAAAGGTTAGAACATGGATTTTTGGAAATAAGCCTCTGTGAAGGAGCTTCATAGAAATTAGAAACATTGCTGATGAGCAAATAAGCTTTAAAATCACAGTAATTCTAGTCCATGGCCTCTTTTACTTGACTTCCTTCTCCTCTATGGCCCACTGACCAAGCAACTCCCAATTTCTAATGTTTTGAAATTTGTGGTATCTTAGATCAGCATCATTCTTACATAAATCAGAATTTAAGGTAAGAGATACAGGTATAGAAATCCACTCAGTCTTTCTGAGGTACTTCATCACACCTGAATTCAGTAGGAGGTACAGACTGACACACCTGGCTTGGATTCACAATTTGGAAGAGAAAAGTTAAGGGGACTGCTCAGTGCACAAATTAAATCCTTCTAACTTCATTGAGGAATGCTTGAATTATTGATTAGTCAAAACAGATTGTTCCTAACTCAGATGTAAACATTGATTTATTTAAAACTACAACAAACAGGGAGTTTGGAAAGCTCTATTTCATTATGAGAAATAATAACCTTATGTGTATGAGGCTGGGGGTTTGAAAAGAGGGACATTTTCTCTGTATTTTTATGGAGTCCAGATGGGGCAATACTTTGATTTAGACAATCCATTTCCTCCATATCCTCAGAAGATATGGTAAAAAAATAATGCATTTCTTTTCTCCTACTCTAGAGATGGATCCAAACAACCTTGACCTAAACCCACTTAGTGAAAAAGCTCCGATTCCTGCCCAAATGTGGGTGCCAAAGGTACCTCCCATTTCTTTCCAAGAAAAGAAGCAAAAAAAATCTGTGTAGTAAAGAATTTAGTGCGCAGAAAATTAATTTAGTCAAGATGAGGCAAACCTGTAAGGTTGATTACTTGTATCTTTATCTCATACTACAGCAGTTCCAATTTTTGTAGTTTTCCAAGCTCATCCATAGAGACACAACAAGGCAGCAGCAATGACATTGGGACTGTTAGAATCTTTGCACTTCATATATTACTGAGTTTATCACTGTGCAAAAGGAAATCAATAAAATATTTTTACACAACTGCTGGATAACATTTGGGCATTTCTGGAGAGGACAGTGAGAGGCTGATGGACCCCAGCAGCAGGATCCTCGTCCCAAACCTTCCTGTAAAGTTCAGCAGAGACAAGGGGAAATCACCCTGACAAACACAGAAGGAGCATTACCAAGAACACTGGCATCTAACCAAAAGAAAGAGCTACATTTGCCTACTGAAGTGCCACACAGGAATCTAAACGTCCAAGAATCCATGGCATATATATGACAAGTGCAATTTCTGCAGCAAAATCCACAGTAACCATAGGATTTCAAAGTTATGGAATACCACTGGAACAGTTTTCTACTTCTAAGTCACCACAGCAGGATGCAAAGTTAATAAATAAAAGAAGTAGAAAAAGCAGGTAGAAAAAGGAAGAAGCTTCATACTTTAAAGTGCAGGGACTTCAAAATTGCGTTTAAACTTAGAACAACCATGGCACATTTCCTCATGCAAGTCCAACTGCAAACAAAAAACAAACCTTTCCTACCTGATGAATTTCTTGCCATCCGTTTTCATCCTTGCAGCTGACAGTAGCATGTTCATGGAGTAAGAGCTCACAGCAGAAAGGGTCCCCTCCCACTATGGCTGTGTGGTACAGCGGGGTCAGGCCACAGCTGTCTTTGTAGTTGGGAGATGCTCCCAGCTCTAAAAGGGTCTGAAAGCAATCACCAACTGTGAAAAATAGATTTGGGAGGGACTTCCATATAAAGGGTCTTTACCTGAAAAGGTATGTATAAAGTTGATCATTGACATAACATTTTTTGCTCACCTATTTATCAGCTGCTAAGTGTCGGCCACAGCACAGACTAAATTAAGCAAGAAATGACCTTGGAAGAATTAAGATCTAAAGGAATCTATGGGGATGGCACAGAAAGAAGGAGTGGCAATGTCCAGTTTCCATCCTCTCACTAGGTTCAGCAATGTCAGCTCTGTAAATGTTGCATCACCTTTGCAACACATTCACCTCTTCAGTTTCAAGGTGCTTTATCAAAAATGTCATGCAATTTGAGTATGTCAAAAGGGAATAAGCAAAACCCATAAACCTAAGACATAATCTAGACCATCAGAGTGATTTAAGAATACCTGTTAAAATACAAAAGAAAAGAGAAGACACTGTGTTAAGGCATAATGTGCAATCCATGCCACTGGAAGCTACTTTCAAAGAGTTAAGTGTCAATAATGCTATTCCTATTTCCTCAGACAGATCTCAGTGTATCAATGAATAACCTTAAATTTCACCACTTTTCTTTCTACCAGGAAAAGATAAATCAGAAATTAAAAACCTCAAGAAGCACATCTTAAAGGATCCATGGAGAACAATACAGTAATTAACTGAAAACAATCTCTTTTATGCTTTTTTTTTAAACAAGATGGCACATAATTTGGTCCTGAAAGCATTTACCTTGAGGGCTACTTGGTTCTTGGCTCTGGCTGCTTTGTGCAGAGCTGTCATTCCATCTTTGGCTCTGAAGTCTAAATGTGCTCCTCCATTTTTCAGGGCTTTTATCACTTCTACTGTATTGTCAAGCTGAGCTGCCAAAGTTAGGGGTGTTTCTAAGGAAGAGAATAGGATGTAATTAGAAAAAGGCAAGAACAATTATAAAATTTGAGTTACTTTATAAAAAAAAAATTAAATACTGTTCAAAGCATAAAATTATCAATTATCTCCTTTGGACAGCAAAACCCTACAGATTTCACTGGCTCAGAGTTGTGAAGGAATGTGTGGGATTCACCCTGTTAATCAATTTAACAAACTCAAGGTACTCCTCTATGCTGCTTAGTTTTGTTATTCTGACCTCCACTTTCTAAGTCATGATAATTTGGGTCCAGTCCTCGGTCCAACATCTTGGTTATTTTTTCCACAGAGAGATGGTGGACATGATCCATAAATTTTTTCAAATTGGCCTGAAACAAAGAGCAAAAAATGCATCATCCTCTGATTGCAAAAATAACATTTTGACTAAAAGTGAAGTATTCTATCAACTTATGTCAACATCCACTGTAGGTAATTGCTAACTCCTGCAGGAAATTGGGATACCTTGGTGTGAAGCTTGGCCAGCTGCTTTTCATCGAGGTTGAACTGTCTGTATACTCTTTTCTTGTAGCGAAACTGAGGAGAGAAAAAAAGGAAGAAATTTTAAAACTTAAATACTTAAAACTCATAATATCATTTTCTGACCTTACCAGGAAGTGTCATCCACTGTGATGGTAGATTTAGGTAAAATCTTTTAAATTTTAGAAATAGGTTCAGTATTTCATATGGTTTTACTTGATTTAAGCAAAATTCATATCTTGTACAAATACACTGAGATCAGTGGAGGTGTATGGAAAATGAGACCAGCCTCTAGAATCTACAGAAATAAGCAAGAATTACACTGAAAAGCACTTTTCCTCAAGGATTCCTGTGCACTTTCCTTTATAGTCTCAGGCAGAAAGCTGGGAAGGCATGTTAAATAAAAAAATACTGATTTCAGAATTGCAGCTGAGCATTTCTGAAATATAAAAAACAACAAAAAAGGATACATTGACTAAGGAATTTTCAGGTAAGAGGAACTTGCACATGGGAATAGTGCTCCTGATGTTGAACAGAACTGGTTTTGTGAATGAGATTCTGAGGATTGCCTTTTTGGCTGAAACTCAGTCAAATTTTATCCTGAGCAGCTTGGGTGCAGTAGCAAGATCTGTAGCAAAAGTCATGAGGGTTTCTACAGCTATAATTTACCATTCTCTCATTGTCCCATGCAGAATCCCAGGAATGCAGCCTGTCTGTTGCACAAGGGACTGCACTAAATGAGGCTTTGACACCAGCTTTCCACAAAATCACTTTTAACGCCTCAATTGCTGTAGTCAACACTCATTAAAATCGATGGAAACAAAATAAAGTGGCTGTTTAATTTCCTTACAGCTGTAAGTGGTCATCAGCGACTGAAACTCTGAAATAAACTCCTGGAAAATGGAAGACCTGAAGCCTTCTCAGGACCTTGATTCTTTTCTCCTGCGTTTATGTGATAGTGGAGTAAGTCTATTAACCACACATTATTAATGGTTGATCTGCCACCATACAAGCAATACCAAAATTAATTACATCCCAGTTTCATGCCCCAGTTTGCTGATATATTGCATGTTCTGGCTCTGCTCCAAGTTTGTTCAGTGCCATAAAAGTTCTGCCCAGCTTATCCTCAACTGCAGAGCCTCTACAGGAGCAACAGAGAGGGGGAAATCCCAGTACACACCCTCTCCTCCTTTACTGCTCTTCCAGGAGGCAGACAGAGGCAACCTGTGCACTCTGAAGGATTGCACAGAGGGAACTAGATGGGGATTTTAAAAGGCTTCACTGAGACAGAAAGTTCTCTTTGGAAGAAAGCAAAGTCTGGTTATCCAGCAACTACTACACTTCTATTGCAAACCACATCACAGATCCAACAGCTTCACCTAGGACCTTACATTTCTTCAAAATACCTAAATAAGATACATGTCCTGTGTCCTCAGCAAAGGAAAACTCCAAAACCCTACTGTTCCAGAAGGGCTGATTCCTTGCAACTTTTTGGGGATGGACCAGCCCCATGAGCAGGGAATGCCAGCACTTCTGTGAACAAGGGTTCAAGCTCACACTTGCTGATAAGCATTTTCCAGATGTAATTCAGGTGCATGCAGACGCCTCAAATACAGCTTTCAGCACAGTTTGCACCAGAATAGAAATGCTTCAGATGTTAGATCTAGAAATACCTCAAGTGAAGGAACTCCTTTATTGACTGGCTGTGGGTATTCCCTTAGCAGTCTCTCCTCATCCAAAAACTTCCCATCTCTCCCATTGCTTGCAGGCTGGAACAGTCCATAATTCAGGACATCTTTCAAACTCTGGTTCAAAGTGCACAAAATCCGCTGTTTTGCAACCCACACTGAAGCTTCTGGGTTAAATCGAATGCATTTCTGCAAAGGGAAGTTATTTTAAGGAACCCAGTTAGTGAAAAAAGCTAAGAATTCTATTTCATATGTGCAATGATAATACCTAATGCACAAGTAGTGTGAAAACACAGGACATTTCAAGTTATTCCACAAACCTCAAGGAACACACATATCCTTCCTCAGAGAGAGAGCACCTTCATGGAAAACCTGTTCAAAAGGGATGTTACAAGGTGTTTAACTATCCACTTGATTCTTGGCTTTTCTAATATCAGAAGATACTAGATTTTTTTTTGGATTTCACAAAAAAAAAATGGTTTTCAGGCAAAAAATCTACTTCCCTTTTAGTTACATTTATCTGAGGGCAAGTTTATGGGAGGAATGATACAACATGAAGCAAATTACTTGAAAGCCTTGACAAACTTTTGCAGTTCTCTGCTTCTTACCAGGTTGGAATATAGGGACTTGAGGAGTTTAGGGATTTTGCTTGCACTGCTGTCACTGATTCCAAAGTACCAGCAGATGGCAATGCCTAGAAAACAAATTGGTGCCTCTGATGTGCATCCTGAACACACAATGCTGTTTTTCTGCTTTAATCCTTTAGTCTTCAATATGAAATGAACTATCAGACTTTGTCACAAGTAAGGCTGGCTAGGAAGCAGCTTTCATTTCCCCTACTTATTTTATTTTTCAAGATGCTTTGTGAAAATTGGGGGGGGGGGGGGGGGGGCGGCGTTATATGCTGAAGGGGAGGAGAGAGGAATTCAAAGTAGATTGTAACAAGTATTTTCATTCCCAAACATCCCAGTAGTTACAGTATTGGCTTAGCAACAAGGCAAATCTGTTTGAAATCCCTGTGTTCCCTCTGCACCTCACTTGCCCCATGGCTCCTACATGGATTCAAACTTCAATACAAGATTCATACTCAAACATCAGCACTTCCCAGCAAAACTGTCAGTTACAAGGTGGGCAATGAGCTTAACTTTTAACATTATCCACACATTCTGAAAGACTTCTGTGAGTGTTATTCAAATAGGAAGATAATTTTGAAATTACATGTATTTCTTTTCCTCCAAGGAAAGTCTTTCTTACATGAAAGAAATTAATTTTGGACTTGTATGACACTGTTTTGATTTTAAAAATACAAAGCAGTTACTTCTGATCACAGTTTAATTAAGTCTGCTGGTTTTTAATACACCTGGAGAATCAAACATGTTCAATTTTGTTCAGTCTGTTCTTGTGTTCACTCTGTTCTTGATGGCAGGCAAATATTTCACAAACTAATTCAGTGAGAGCTACAGCTCTCCTAGTGATTCATAAGAAACAAAAGGGGGCTTATTGTAAAAAAGGCTGATTCCATTAGCAATTTAGAATGAAATAAGCTCAGTTATGTAAAAAGTAAATTGATAACTTGAGAATTTTTTGCTAACAAAATGTTTCAGGCTGAGAATAGTGAAACCAGTGTGAAAAGTGATTATTTATGCTTTCCATGAAGGCAGGCAGCATAGAAGTGGAGCTGTTACCACTCTCTCAGAGGCAGGTGCTGACCAAGAGGATAAAAAGGAGCACTCAGACGCTGCATAAGGTGCATTTTCCATCAGCCTGTCCCTGGAACAACTCCACTGTGCTGCTTCTGTGTCCTCCTGGCAGCCCTCCAGACAGGGAGCACCACAGCCATTCCCTCTATCCTGCAGACAAGTCATTACTTACTGCCACACTCTGTATCCTGAGGAAACATCAGCTCAGTCACAGCAGGACCTACACACAGGCTGCTCTAGTTATGAAATAAGGAACAATTCTTTAGGCACACATGGCATGGTAACCACAAGGAAAAGAGGCAGCAGCAGAGTCAAAAAAAAATGGACAACTTTTTCTAATCTTCAATGACAAGAAAAAAAAAATTAAAGAATAGGGATCATTTAGTGACAAGGAACTACAGAAACACATGAAACAAAGATGTGTTGCACTGATAGATACACTCACTGTAAAAAAACCACAAAGAACAGCAAAAAAAAAATCTGAGTGACTCAAAGTCACTGTCAAAACCACAGCCGGCCCCTCAAAATGCAAGTGTAGCAGCAAGACAGCACATCAGCACTGGCTGCTGAGATGCAAGGCCTGTGTTTGGGATGTGAAAGCTCCTTGGATCACAGGAGATAAGGTCAATTGTAATCTTGCATTCCTGCACACTGGTGAGAGCAAGTCACTGAGTGAAGGGCAGGATGGGAAGCCAGGGAAAATACAGCTCCCTCAGCTGAAGGGAAGATATTAATTCAGTAGGAATAATGCTTATGATACAGAATGTCTGAGGGATATATTTATCTGCTTAAAATCAATCAGCAAACACATCTTTCTGCTCAGCTGTCAATCACACAAACTGTGCTGTGACTGAGGGACATGACAAAATGGTTTGTACAGCTGCCTCCAAAAATATGATTGCCAGGATATCAGAACATGAATCATTCCTTTCAATGGGAGATGTTGATATTAAAGATGTGACAGCCAAAGAGTGGGAAACACAAATGAGAATTTGGCATCACAGAAAGAAAAGGGAGCAAGTCCCACATTTTAGTTTGTGCTGTGTTCAGATTGATTCTCTGCTGAAACACTGCTCTCCTTCATCAGGCTGCACTCAGGAAATACAGAATTCATGAAGGAACAGGTCAGAAAAACCAGTCTGGCCAGGTTGTCAGCAGATCACCTGCCCAGGTCAAGGGCATGTGAACAGGTACCAGCAGCACAATGCTTCTCTTATCAAACTGAAGATAAAACAAGGAAGAGCAAACAGAAAGCATCAAGGAACAAGCAGGCACAAAGTGGGATACAGAAGAATACTGGGGAAAAGTTGCAAAAGAAAACCTGGAGTATCTATGAGGCAGCACAATCTGGAAACAAGTGAAATTGGAGGCATCCCAAGGAAAAATTGGACTCAAACTGCAGTTCTCACAACCGGGTTCCTATTTTTTTAAGGTAAAATTGCACAAAGTAAACAAAGTGTTTTATCTGAGAAGCAAAAGCACTAAAGGAAAAGATTCTTAATCCTAAAACCCAGCAAATAATAAAAAAGTAAAGAAAGGATACAAAAGTATAAAAAGCAATGCAGAAACAGAACACCAAAAAGTGGCTCCAATTTAAGCTGTTCCTATACCAAACTGCCACTTACCAAACAAGGTTTTGCATGGAAAGTCCAATATAATTTTAAAAACTGCAAAACCCAGGGGAGGGAGGAATCAGTAAATGCTCATTATTGCAGTGGAGCAGCAAAACAGATGGGCAGAAGGTGTCTCAGAGAAGTCTTCAGCAGACCCAAACCCATCTCAGCCTCAGAATTTAATAAAATGTATGGATCTGAGCATTTTGACTTTAAACATAAACCAGAGGAAGCATTTAAGTACAGGGTAAAACAAAAAAGTGGAACAAGCACCATGTGTAGATGATAAAATGATGAAAACATTCCTTAAAACAACTGGCTGACAGAACTGCTGTCAGTGTCTGTGGCAAAGAGCAATTCTAAGCACAAAACACCATCCTGTCAGAATATCAAGGTAAAGGAGGTCTTGACAACAGCTCCTGAAGAACCAGACTGATTTCACTTATAGGCAGCATCACTTGGGATTTGTTCCTATACAGGCTGGAAAAGGAAATGGATACAATATGACTGGGCCTGGATTCAGACCAAATAATATATGCCAGATAATACAGCTGTTTTACCCATACTCCTCGAGATTGTGGAGAACTTTCCACACTCTCCATTCCCTCAGGAATTTCACTGAGCTCAGGAAATGTTTCAGTCATTCATTTGAATATTCTCCACCCTCCCATGAGAAGGATGACACTTATTGAATACAGGTTGTGCACTTAGGCAATAAAAAATTACCATTAACATCAAGTAGTGTTTCAGTAAAGTGGCTTATCACCCGAATTGAGAAGGAGACCAAAAAAACAAAAAAAAAAAAAAAAAAAAAAAACCCAAACCAAAAAAAAACCAAAAAAAAAAACCTGATCTAAGAACTGAAAAGCAATTGTTCTTAAGGGCTCTGTATGAACTTGTCAAGGTACACATTGTCTTCTAAGCTTCAAATGAGAATAAAAAGAGCAACAAGACAGACTTCCTACAATGTAATTTATAAAATTTTCCATGGCAGCACATCCTACTCGTGGTACTTGGTGCTTATCTCATACCTGCAGTGAAATAAAGGTAGTTTGTACCATAGCCACCACAGATGAGCAAACTTCATTATCTTGGAGTTTGTCTAAGGCTTTAAAACTTCCCAGTGGGATGAATTTTATCTAAACCCCTAAACTTGTCTTCCTTAGAACAAATATAGTCTTGATCATACTCCCTAAAAACCAAAAAAAGCAGAAAACTAAATTATGTTATTTCATGCTTCTTTGATTAAAAAGCCTGATTTTAAACACCTCATATGTTAAATTAATCAAAATTATACAGGAAATGGAGCCTATGTTTGCTCTGGCTTGTAGCTGTACAACAGCTCAAACTCCAGTCTTCTCCAGTTTTCTTCACTACATTTAATCCACCAATATTTCTGTCTGCTAACCTGAATTCAGGTTTTACTTTCCTGCACAAAGAGTTTGTGGGCTGATAAATTAAATAAGAAATACATCAACTGCTTTAGAACCACTTAAAACAATTCAGTTACTTTTCATGAAGAGTTTATTGAAAAGGAAAAAGAAATACAAGAAAGCAATAAAAATTAACAAATGATAAAATTAAATTTTAAATTTGTCTTGATAGTGTCAATAAGTAACTTATTACTGATCTAAAAAGCAGAGTAATTAAATAAGAGGACTCCAAGAAGTTACTATCTCTGTGGTTTTAACAGCAGAGTAAACATAGCAGGAAAAGCTGGTATTTCTGTTCCATTTTCATGGATCTATTCATTGACAGGGCCACAGATAGAGCAAGTTGGTAAGATCATCAAAAAAGAGCTCCAGAACCACACCTTAGGGCACACCATCAAAACAGCTTTTCCCTGTCAGGCTGCTGCCAGCCCATCTCTATCATTCTAAAAATGAATTTAATTAAGAGGAAAGGAAGGGTTTCACTGGACTTAAATCTTTGACAGCAGCAGGGCATGATGTAGCTCTTCCATGTCAGCACAGAGTGATGTATGTGGCTCACATCCATAAAATTGATGTGTTTTTATAATCATCTTGGAAATTTCAAAAGGCTAGTGCCACCACTGAAAATCCTGACAGCAGCATTCAAGGAGACCCAGGGTAATTCAGATAATTAATAATAAACTCAGACAAATTGTGGTTCTGACAGAATCAGTCTCTCCCAAGACCTTTTCCAACATGACACTGTTATTCCTATCACAGCACTTGTGTTGGTTTCTCTGGCTGGAAGGTTCAGAAATGACACCCTGTAGTAAAGTTGTGGCAGCAAAGAAGGAAGGAAAGGTTTATTTGTGCTTCTTTTTCCTCATCTTTACACTCTAAAAGCCACAGATTCTCTAAAACGGATGTCTTTTGTAAGGCAGGTTGCCAGAGAAAGACAACAAATATAGTAAAGAGAGAGAATTTGATTACCTCTTGCAGGACCCCAGTCTAGTGTCAATCACAAACTATTTCATGAGAAGAGGAACTGGAGAAGCTATATATATATATATATGTGTGTGTGTGTGTGTGTGTGTGTGTGTGTGTGTGTGTGTGTGTGTATGAGGCTTTCATAGAGTTAACAAGTGATTTTTTGATTCAATCTTCATCTTCTGATGAGGTTATGGATTCCTAAGTCTTTCTTGTACCCAAAATCTCTGAATGCAGATCAGAGATATATTTTACTTTATGAACATGGCTTTCATCATGTCAACGCACTAAATTCTCTTAGAAGGGATGGTGCCTTTAGTTGAGGCAACCAGTCAGATAAACCACTGGGGTACAAAGCATAGACATTAAACCAAAACATGAATTTTGTCTGCAACACATCAAAAAAGAAAGAAAGGGAACAGATGTACTGCAGATTGAAGCCAGCAAACCTAATAATTAATTTCACTTTGTTTAATTGCAGTGCACTCTGTCTTACCGTTTGCTGCAGGTCAGGTATGATAATTCGAATCACTAAAGTGTTGCTCTGACTGTCTTCCATTCTGCTGCTTGGCTTTTCTGCAGTTGCTCTAATTGTGTCATAAATGGTTTCTTCTTTGGAGCTGTCTGATTCGGACTCCACAGAATAGTCAGAGAAGCTTTGTGCCATTTCATCTTCACTTGATGTAGGGCTACGAGGCATGTTAAAGTTTTTTATCCTGCCAGTACAAGGAGAAAAAGAAACAAATAAGTTACAGTTCAAGTCTTCAAAATGAATCAGCCATACATTTTTTTCTTCTTGGAAATAACATGCATTTAACAAGGAAGTTTTATGGTTTATCCTCCTTTTATTTCTTTCTGTCAATTATGGGGGAGGCAGAGTGTAAAGGAAATAAATCTAGCTACCAATTTACTAGAGAAGAGGAAGGGCAGGAGAAGGAAAAAAGAGTAGTAAAAAAGAATATGACCTTCCTTCCCAGGCACACCTAACCTCCCAAAGGATACAGAAAAAACAGCATAATTACCGAGTCTTGTGCTAACCAGCACTGCTGAAAACAGTACTACTAAGAGCTAGGTCTGGCTTTGAAGCTTCCTCCTCCCAATGAAAAGACATTTTAGAGAATTAATGTAAATGCTAAACATACATCATCCTGTACATCAAGAATCGGCACGGGTGAGACTTTCATAAAAGTCAGTATGCCCAAATAGTGGAACCAAGCAAAAAATTAAATCCTACAGGGAGCCAGACAGACACAGATGCTGCTCCGCGGTTTGTGACCCACACATCTTTTTAAACCAGCACCACCCAAATCTGTCCATTATATATACTCAGTTTAGAAGCAGTTCTAATCTGTGCTATAGCTTAGGCTAAAATGAAAGTCATGCTTATTCCAGACTAAAGATATTTGTAATCAGGGGTCTCACACTAAGAAGAGCAGAACATTTTCCTTCTGGGCTTTTCCACCTACAAGAGTAAAGTAATTTTTTTTGTCCCACAACCTCAAAGCTGCTCCAGGATATGAAAATCATTATTCTATAGAAAAAAGGAGGTAAACATTTTCAGCAGAAAAAACTGAAAAGACAAAAATAAACTCTGCAGTGCTTGGACGTAATATCATTTTCCAGATTTAGGAGGCCAAAAAATTTTTTTCTTTTTTCTTGTGACTAATCTTCCAAGACAATTCCTCTGTTTTTTAATGCAAAATAAAAAACTCACTTAAAAGAAAAATAAATAAATTAAGACCCAAACAAGCAATTTCACTGACAGGTCACGTTTAAAAAGAGACAGTAAAGCCAAAGTGAAGCACAGAATGGTAAAGTGACTTGACCATTCATAAACCAGGTGACTCTACTGAGGTACCCAAATACACATTTTCTATACTGACCTCTTAGCCAGATCAGCCCAAGTAAATAAAGTCAAACAGCAGCAAGGAATAAAATAACATTTTTTACCACTGTGCCTACCACTTTAGTTCAAGTAATTCCCTCTTCACTGCCCAGTCACTGTCCCAGCAGTGACTCCAGAGCAGGACCAAAGACTGCCACTGACATTTCCCATTTTAAGGTGCCCATGGGTTGGCTGAGCAGTGATGAGTCAGGCCTGAGGCTGGAGGTCAAGGACAAGCACTCCCACATCACACCCCCACATCATCAAGCCTTATTGTTGTTTCTGATGAAGGATAATTCCAGTGTTATTACCCTCAGCTATAATGACTCATGAAGATAAAACCAGTGCATTCAGAAATTTGAAAGCAAGCCAGTTCACAGCAGCTTAATGCAAGGCTCTATTTACAAAGGAAAACTCTGCAGGGAGTATTTCATTTTTTTGCTGCTTCAGTGAACTGTAGATTAATGCTGCTCTCCAAAGCACCTTAAGTCAATAAAAAGCATAAACATTTCTGTGGTTTCTCTATTTATCTGCCACTGCTAAAACATGTGATCCCAAAATACAGCAGGACAATACCCAGAATTTAAGGGTATAAGAGGTACAAGCCAGTGAACGTGGGCAGAAAGACAAGGACCATCACGTGGTTTGTCTGTCCCTAAAGCTATCTGAGAGTGCAACACATTCCAGGGCAGTGGATTCGACAGAGAGCAGTAAACTGCAGTTATACAGCAACCAAATAAAAAGAGTTAAGTTAGGAAGAAAAAGCTTCCCCAGGTTTTGGCAAGCAGGTTATCATGCAAAAACTACCCAGGAATATCTCATTCTAGAATAAGAAAGGAAAATCTCCAGCTGAACAACCAGCTCCCAGGAATCAAGCCTTTAAGTTTACTAAATATTGGGACAAAGAACTCCTTGGAGACTTGTCAACACGGCACAAGACACCTAATCTTCTGGAAAATAATGCACAAGTAACTACGGAAAGGATAATGAAAGTCTGTATCCACAGCGGCAAAACGAACAGGATATGGGCCCCACCAGGACAGTGGGAAAACAGATCATTAAACACCATTTTTTAAACAAGACTATTTCAATACTGGAGAAACTGTCAATTTGTTTGGCTCAAGTTGTATGGAGATGGAAGATCCCACCATTTTTTAACCAGAGACGCTGGCTATCACAGCTCCCACAGGGAAGCTGTTATCTTTTAGGAACTGTTTCACTTTTGTCCCAAGGATAATCCAAAAGATTTTTCCACAACCAAACTTACTACATTAGAAAAATAAGGCAAGTTGCCTGGCTTACTAATTAATACTTGTATAACCCATTAAAATATTGCATCCCAGATTCCTAATTCCTAGCTGGCAATTCATTAGTTCAATACAGCTGAAACATAGATTAGGTTTATCATGGTTGTTTGGGATGCCTTTTTTCCTTTTCTTAAAAAAAAAAAAATCAAGAATTTAAAAAATAAGAGATCATAAGATTCTTACTGTTAAACTGATCGTGTTTAGTTTGTGACTGCTTTTGGTGTAGAGAAGTGCTAGGTGCTGACAAGATTCTCTGTAATTGAATAAAAACAGACGTCATTATCATCTTGGCAATAAATGAAAAGTGTTACGCCAACAGGGTTTGTTCCACCTTATGCTGTCTGTCCACATTTCTCAACTCCTGGGCACTGAATGTGCCCTAGCTCCAGGCAATGTCCTGTCCTCTGCACATCCCCTAAACAAAGCAAGCTTGAGCTGTAGCTGGTTAAACACTCCTTTTGACACAGGAAGGCCACAAGGAAGCAGGAAGATGAGAGAGTGAAAGGATGGCTTTATGGTCCCATTATTATTGGGCTTTAGCTTGGAGGGAGCAGCAGGATGTGTACCCAGCTTCTGGGGCTATGGCCAGGTGATGTTTCTCAGACCAGCTGGCCAGATGAAAGAAGCAGAGCTCAGACTGCTGCCTTCCCTTTACAGATGCTATTTTTAGATGTTTCTTCTCAGTCCAGCCTGCAGCTTTCACAAAATCTACTGGAATTTCCTATTCTGTCATTTGCTGCCACCACACCATTAAAAGGAGAGTTTGAAACAGTCCAAACTATGACCAAACTCCTTTTTCTCTAAAAAATAATAAAAGAAAACCCCTACAAGAGCATTGTAAAAGGCTGAAATTAAACAGTGGACAGGTTATCAAACAGGAAAAAATTCAGATCCCAGAGCTCATTCTTAGGGTGAAAGGTGTGCTCCAGTGAGTGCAAACAGACACAGCAGGGGGAAAACCAAGAGCAGCAATAAATTAATCTATTCCTTGGAGCCTTAAGGTTGTTGAACATCACACAAAAGGAATTTAATAAGTATACATGTTTATATTTATTTGTAACTGAAATATTGTAAACTTGATGTGAAAGGGTTTAAAATATCACCAATAGAGAGACACGCCAGACAGGGAATCTTCATTGAAGATCCAGTTATTATCAGATAAATCTGCTATAAAAACCACATTTTAAAATCTTCCGCTTACTTATGGCTCTGTGTGATTTTTGTTGACCCTGCAAAGTACCAAACCCTCCTGGTCTTGTTTGTCCCTAAAACACAGCTGAGGCACAAGCTCTAAATGTCTTGTCCAAGGTCACTAAGGCCAGGTCTCACAGCAGCGTTTCAAATTCAGGGGTCAGTGGCTCCTAGTCAAGATAAGACCAATCTATTTTTATATAAACACTCATTTGCCCAATAGCAGCCCAGTTGCCTGCAGGTAGAAGCCCTCCAGACTGCTGCTGTGAGGCTAGGTACAAACCTACCTGTGGGAATATCTGGGATACAGAGAGGGCATTGTCAGGGGTTGAGTAATGCCATGAACCAGACTAGGAGAAAAGTTTGCTGGGGGAGGAACAGTCACTGCTAGAAAGAGGTATTTAGTCATTAACTCTGAAGGAAACTATTCAGGAAAGGGATTTCTGTATAAAACCTGCCAGAGCTCCCAACACTTGGATTCTGTGGCTTTATTCAGGATTATACATATAAACTTCAATAACCAGCTTGACGAGGTACTAAATTAAAATGCTGGAGAAGATCAAGCATTTTCTTTTCTAATTATAATATTAAAACAAAAAGGCACTTCAGACAGAGCTGAAGGTGGGGTTGGGGGTTGAGTCCCAGCACACCATGCATTTCACACCTCTCCCTGGCTGGGCAGAAAAGGTCAGAGGAAAATTTGAATTGAAGACCAATTCCAAATGACAATTTTCAATTTGATGGGTTCAAGCTCCCTCTGTACCCCAACTTCAAAGCTGGCAGAAACCATCATTGCCTCCCAAAAAGCGAGCCCACCCTCCTTCTCACCCCAGAGCATTCCACCCTTGTCCCCACACTACTTTAACACAAACAGTGAAGCAAACCAAAGCACTGATCCAGGTCGAACTCTAGCTTTTTTTTTGTTGTTGTTTGGGGAGTTAATTTCCACATCCATAATGCCTCTGAACTGGATCACTATGCAAATGTTTGCAGAAGCAGGAGGAGAAAGATGGCACAGGGCCAGAAGTGAACTGCCAGGGCTTGAAAGGGCATAACCACTTTATCCAGTGTCAGCATTAATGTTTGCCAGCATGGAGTGGATCTGAGATACCACTGCCCAAGTGACAGGAAAGAGATGTCCACAAACACAGGCATCTGATTAACCCAAATGGAAATGTTATCAGCACCCAAATTCCACAACTCCAACCAGGGCAGGGCTGAAAGCCACAGACACAAAACTCAGCCAGGCAAAGGCAAAACCTAGAAGAAAACATCTACAAGAAAAAAGCCAGAACATGCACAAGGAGTCCTAAAGAATCCACAGCAAAACCTC